GAGAAAGGCAAGGAGCAGGAAGAGGACAAGAGCCAGCAAATCTTACGCGGTCTTCTCCTTCGACTAGGGGCCGTGGTAGAGTACTTCGTCCTCGCAGTGGACATAATGGTGGACGTGGACATACGTCTGGTTAAACACATCACAAATCATGGTGCTTGAAGTGGTGTGGAGTGAGGAGAGGTTGAAAATCTTTTTAGTGTGGTTTCCTTTAGTTGTACATAAGTTCTGTATGCACACGTGTCATAATCTTTAATGTGATTTTCTTCTGGCTGTATCTATTTGAACTGCAACCAGCTAATTGGTATTTAAATTCTCCCTGTAATTGTTCTCAGGTTCGAAGTCCTTGGTGCTGAAAGAAGACTTGAAAGTTAAAAAGCAGTATCGACAGATTTTAGAAAACAAGCAACTAGAGCTTTAAATGCTGTTTAATGATCAGGTTAGTTTCATAAATAAACAAGATATTTCAGAATTATATGAACGTTTTACCTTCTACAGCTGACCCTGTCAGGCACTTTGATTAGGCCATTAATGAAATGTGGTATACATGTGAGGTAGAGAATGTGGTGAGGATCAATCTGAAGAAAGAAAAGGTTTGTTGATTATTGTTCTTTGTTGATAATATAAATAAGGGGAAACTATCAAATAGGCCCTTGTACTATATTCAAAAAGTCAATTAGGTTGTCGTACTATCAAATTGTTCAATCGAGCCCTTGAACTATTAAAAAAACAACCAATTCAGCTTTTTAGCCGGTTGGGCACAGACTGTGCTGGTAGGTGCTGACTTGGCTAGCCAGGTGGATTAATCATGGCTAGCTGGTAAATGTTTTGGCCTTCGCTCCCCCTTTTCTTCTTCCAGATGCTCTGATCCTTTTTTCTCCTGTGACATCTTTGATTCTCTTAAGTCTTTAGCAAGGAACATTCACTATTAATGATATTTACAAAAACACAACAGTGATGTTTTGCATAATATTTAGAGATAAGAGAAGAAATGATATCCCTAATTATAACTCCTCTGCAAAAAAAGACCAAAGAGCTCTCCATCAACAATGCAGTTCTCCATACTCAGTTCTTCAAAAAAGCGCCATCTCCAGCTCTTGCTCTGGAGGCCTCTACTGGCTGCCCTGAAGTTTCCGACGCACCAAAGTTTGTCTCTGGTAGATGGGCCAGCTCCCTCTCCCGGTCTCCCCTGGTCATCCGACCTCATCTCCCGACCGCGCTCTGGCGGAGAGCCGAATTGATTATTCCAAGAACATCATCATCAACCAGAATGATGTCAGCCACTTTGAAATTGGTGCTGCGGCCGGCTTTCTTTTCGCGATGACGAAATCTTCCTCCGTTTTTGGCATTGGTTGTTGAGAGACCTCTCTTGTAGTAGATCTTCGAGCTTAAAGAGGTGCCATTGCCTCTGAATAGCTCAAGGCTCCAAGACGTTTTCTTAGCCGCCATTGTAGAGTAGCTCTGACAGTCTGACTCCTCCGAATAGTTTCAGTGCTTTAGGGGAAGGCCGTGACGGTGATGAACAATTTTTCAACATGCGCACAATATTTTTTTTAAGGTTAGGGAGGAGATTCAAAGAAATGTGGAGTATTAAAAATGGGGAAAAAATAAAAAAGAGTGGTATGGATAGTCACACGAGCAAAGAAACCGGAAACCGTTTGGTAACCTCTTAAGAAGTCATTTTGAACGGTTTTTTTAAGTTGGGGGTGTGAGTGAATGATTAAATTTTAGGATAGCCTAATTCACTTTTTTACTATAGTACGAGAACATAAATAACCTTATGTGAGCATGCTTTTAACTAAATTTACTCTACAGGCTGATAAACTTGTTGGTGAGGTGCAAATTAAATGTGAGCTGCAGCTTGTGGAATGCAGAGAAGAATCTAGGCATTACTTGTGGCATCTACTAATTATGCTCTTGTATGTATGTTAAAACTGAAATCTGAAAGACTGATCGCATACTGTACGACTTTTTGTATACGAAACGTTCTTTCTACAAGACGTTCAAATTTGGATGCTTAACTCTACTCAAAGTTTATTGATGATAGTTTCCATGTTTGAATTAATAATTCTCAGCCTAGTTTTGTAGTTAAAGACTTTAAGTATGTTTTTACTTGGAATGAAATTTTCTGGTTTAGCCTAATGTGGTCTCAAGTCTGGTCTAGTCTAGTCAAGTTTGAGACTGAAAACAGTCCAAGTAAAAACAGCCTAATAGTAGCCAAAGCTTGTTAATGGTAGTTTTGATTTTCTTAATACTATTAAAGTTAGCCATAGTGATTGAGATTAAGATGGCTTTCATTTAGTTCATTAGTTCTGTTTTTTACTTACCTTCGAAATACTTTCTGCATTATATTTCTTGGTATTTTGTTCAACCATTAGACATTTAGACTTGCTCATTTTTTTCCGGAGAGTATCCACTTGTTTACTTTTAAATTGCAATTAGCAGCTGCTTCTGCCCATTGTGAAACTGTTATTCGAATCAAAACAGTAAAGTGTAAACCAAATTCGGCCGTAACATATTATTGATAAAAATTGGTTTTTTAACACATGATGATATTCAATTTTGTCCTCGTCTGTGATGTTAAGGTTGAATCCTCAACCCCAAGAGCCTCCCACGTCCTGATCCGAGCCAATAAGTCATTTGAGAGGTTGTAAGTCAAGTTGATTCTATTAGTCCAGTAATTGTAGACCTTGTACCAGTGCGCATCAAAGGTGTAACCCAGTGTAATCTTCTCACGGTCGCTGCGGGATTTAATCTTTGAACAATGTTCCAACTTTCCCACCCCTAAATCAATTGAGCTACTTAGGAGAGGGTTGCCCTCGTCTGTAATGTAACACGTTATGTTGATACTGTTGTAGTATTGCAATTTGTGTCTCCTAACAATAGTATTAGTGCGATGGTTTTGGGTGGCACAATCTAGTAAGTGATAGGTCAAAGGGTTAAATAGGCCTTCGAATTAACTTAAAAAGTGAAAATCACCCCTTATATAGGAGACTCTGTCCAGCCGTTGCCATTTGGGGTGATTCCCGGTTTTGATGAATTTTTTTGAGCATATTCTTCATTAAGTCTAGTTTACTTATACCAAATTTCAGATAAAAATTCAACCGGGAAGACGGTCAAATGATTTTCTAAAATGTACTGCCGTTGTTTAACTGCTCAGTTATCTTCAAAAATTCATTTGGCTGTCTTCCTGATTGATTTTTTTGCTGAAATTTGGTATTAGTAAACTAGACTTAATGAAGAAGATTCTAAAAAACTTTCATCAAAAACTTCCACCGATAACATCCCCAAATGGCGACGGCCGGATAGGTGAATCCATGGCCTTTATCCAGAATTTTCATTTATAAAAACGGGCCAAATTGTTTATTAATGGACTGGACTGGCCGTAATGGGAAAAAGGATTTTTTTATCTAGAATTTTAGGTTTTTCTTTTTACTCCGGGGGCGTCAGGGGAGGGGATTTTGGGGGGCCTGTGGTAAGCTGAGACAAATCTCTCTCCATTGAGAATTGAACTCGGGACCTCCCATAAGGGAGAGTGACTTGGCGACCAGCTGGGCTGGACCGCTTCCTCTATCTAGAATTTTAGTTTGTACGAAGTATGCTCTTTCATTCCAAATTATTTATTGGATGACTGCTTTAATTCCAGGCTTTTATATTTTTAGATCAAGCCAATTTGCGATAAACTGAGTATTTTTTTCTTCAAAAAAATAAAAATAAACGGAGTATTTTGTATCACATGTAATCAAGATATTATAAACGGACTATTATTTCACATATTAACTTATTTTTAAACTTAAATTATCACACTATATTGTATTGCGTAGTAATTATTAGTCATATTTATATAAATAAGTTTTTTAATAATTTTTTGGTGACATTTTGGTAGTAAAATCAAATGACTCAACTTTTGAGTGAGTGCTATGACTCAACTTTTGTGTGTGTAATCTGTATAGTGTTATCTGCTAATAAAATTATGTATTTCTTAATATACAAAAAAGGGAAAATTAATAAAAATATCCCAAACTGTGAAGGGGTGTGAGATAAACACTCCAAACTTGCATATCTATTTCAAATACCCTAATCTTTAAATAAAAAGTTGTTTTTGCACCATTGTCATGTATTATTTCTTTCAAAAATGAAAATTTAAGGGGTTAATTGTATAATTTAAAATAGAAAATTAAAAGTGTTGAGATTATATAGATTGAGGGTAACATTATCTATTTTCTAATGGAAGTTTAGAATGTTAATGGTTTCTTCATGAATTCTAAAATGTTTTAAATTATGCAACTAACACCATAAATTTACATTTTTCAAAGAAATAATACTTGACTATGGTGCTAAAATAACATTTTATATAAAGTTTGGGGTATTAAAATTACATATGCAAGTTTGGGTTGTTCATCTCACATCCCTTCAAAGTTTGGGGTATTTTATTTATTTTTCCCTATAAAAAACCATATTTAAATAAATAAGTTTTTTAGTAATAACTTTTGAGTTTTGACCATTAATTTCATAAATGTATACAACTAATAAACTGATCCATTTCTTAATATATTATCGTAATATTATCATAAATGACATACTGTTAATATTTCATAAAAGAACTTTTGCTCCGTGCAATGCACAAGTGTGATAAACTTTTCACCTTTTCATGGACCCTAGACAAATGCTGTTTGTGCTTCAAAATATTGAAATTTTTTGATGTTATCTTATGTTGAATAACATGATTTGGTTTGTTGTCCCTAAATGGTCGTTGTAAAAGTTTTGATGTATCATTTTGGATCTGAACATTTTTTCTTTAATTAATATAAGGTTCTTTATTCCGGTCGTGCATCACACAGGTAGATACTAGTTATAACAAATGCAATAAGTAGGCAATAAAGTAATACTCCGTAATAAATGTAATTAATACGTAGGCACCATAATACATATGCTAGGAGTAATAAATGACATGAATACAGATGCATTTTGTAAACATTGAGTTATTTATAAAGATAAAGAAATGCTATTGTAAAGATAAAACAATCATATATTGTTTTTTTAATAAATAATTGGGAAAACTGTCAAATAGGTCCCCGTACTATATCAAAAAAGTCAATTGAGTCCTCCTACTATTAAATCACTCAATTAAATCTCCCAACTATCAAAAAACATTCAATTTGGCATTTCAACCGGGAATCAACCGGTAAAGAGGTTAGGCCGATCCACGTGGGCATATTTTACATTTTTCATTTATTTTACTTTCTTCTTTTCTTTCCCGTTCTCTGCCGTCAGGCTCTGGCCCCCTTCCGCCCAAGCCCCAATCAGCAACATTGTTTCTTTTTCTTCATTCCACGCCATCCAATCCAGAGAAGCTAGCCATTCAGAACTTCAATTCAGTGAGTGCAGAAGAGGGCGAGGGCTGTAAAGGACGGCGTGGAGGCAGGGGCTTCTGCGATGTCACCGGAAAACCTAGGTATGGATGCTGCGAAATCGCCAGAGATCTCGAACCTTCTCCCACCGAAGGTTGTTGAAGTTTTCCATCGAGTTTGTCCAGTTGGTTTACACATACATAGTAAATTAGTAATTAAATACTACCTCCATCTTTCTTCTTCAGCCAAGAAACCAACTGGACACATGACCCCTCTTTCCCTCTGCAAACCCACCCACCCAATGTCCTCTTCTGTACTCACTGAAATTCCTAATATGAGGAATGACAAGCTTCTCTTGATTGGATAGGGTGGATTGAAGAAAAAGAAAAGATGTTGCAGGCTTGGGGCTTTGGCGGAAGAAGACGTACAACTAGCTAGAGCCAACGGAAGAGAAGGTTGAAAGAAAGAAAAAAAATGTACTACACGTAGTAAAATACTAAAATCTGGCACGTGGATCGGCCACATGGGTATGTTAACCCCTTTACTGGTTGTTTCCGGTTGAAATATCAAATTGACTTTTTTTTATATAGTTGGAGGATTTAATTGAATGATACAATAGTACAAGGACCTAATTGACTTTTTTGATATAGTACGGGGACCTATTTGACAGTTTTCCCTAAATAATTAGATATTAACTTTAATACGGAGCTTGAGAGTCTCTCTCTATACCTTCGTTTACTCCTAGGGCTCGGCCGCTAGGGTTTGGTTTCCGATTTCGTTATCTACGAAGATCGGTAGTTCAGACGGGGAAGGCATCGTTAGCGGCAGTCTCAGACTCGAGCAAGAAGAGCAGGGGTTTCGACCGAGACAAAGTCTTGGATGGAAGATATTGTTAATTCATATAAGACGATGTCAATTGAGAAACAAGTGAACGAGCTTAACTTCGACGAGGAGGCAGAAGAGGGAGGGGAGGAGGCGAACGAACCACATGTCTTCCCGGTGGTTGGCCGGGGTTTTCGTCTCGGACCGAAGGGTCAAATTGACGGGTTTCCAAGAAATGATGGCTTCTATCTGGCGGCCAGGGCGAGGTATGACTTTCAAGGAGATTGGAGAAAAAAGGTATTTGCTTAATTTTAATCATGTTTTGGATATGAATCGTGTGCTTGAAGATGGTTCTTGGCTTTTTGAACGTGATTTAATCCTATTGAAAGTTGTTCAGCCAGATGACATCCCTGAAACGATGACTTTATTTGAGGCTAGTTTTTGGGTACAGGTTCATAATGCCTCTATTAAGTTTAGAAATTTGGGATCTGCCAGAAAAATTGGTAATATTTAAGGCTCTTTTATTAAATTTGAGATGAGCCAATTTGAAGCTAAACAAAGCTCTTATCTGCGTATAAGGGTGTGCTTGGATGTTCGCAGGCCTTCAAAAAGGGCACTACTTTAACAAAAGTTGGGGTTAAGCATTGGATTTTAAATATGAAAAACTACCCAACTTTTGCTTTTTGTGTGGTATAATTGGACATTCTGATAAGTTCTGTCCTTTAAAGTATGAAGAAGGCTTTGTAGCCGAAAAGTCTTTTGGGGTGGAACTCGGAACAGGAGGAGGGTGAAGACGAGCCCAACAAGACCCAATAAGTGACTATCTAATGCAACATCGAGTTCAGGTGGATATGGATATCAGTGGAAGGCTGATCTCGGGGGAGAATTTACGGCTGAGTCAAAGGCCAATATGCAACAGAACGAGACAGAAGACAGGGAAGAAACTCCTGGAGATACAAAGCGAAGGAGAATTTGGGATAATCAGCCCAAAAGAGACACAACGGGTGAAGGAATGACTCTGGATTGGCCAAAAGATGGGGAAGCGGCGGGTGAGCTGCCTTAGACCCACCGAGATTTTATTGGATGGTGCTGGCGAGGAAGACTAGTGGCAGTGTTATCTTTATTTTCTGTTTTGTGTGCTTTTATTTTGGAGACTACTATCTGTTTTGCTCTTATTCTTATGTTCTTTTGCTTTGTAAGACTCTTGCATTAAGTTTGGGGGATGAAAGGTTTACGGTAACCGTGATTGGCTTTAAGTTGCCCAATTCAGGTCTAACGAGTTATACTGCTTTTTTTACAGGTGGTTAACTCTCAGTCTCGGCCACAGGCGGATGATTATTTGTGGTTCTTTTATTATCCTGTATCTCTGCTGAATGCTATTTTTATTATGAATTAAGCCATCTTCGATAAAAAAAAATTAGAGATTAGAAAACTACAAATTATTATATATTTCCCAATAAACAACATTTAAAGTCTTCTTGAATGATTTTCCGACATCATCATGTATAATAAACTTCAACCCAGATAGGACGCTACTCTTGAAATCATGACGTAAGAAACCCCTACCCACTCCAAGGACTGTCGCTACCTCTGGTTGATAGGCATCATGTGAACTACAACTTTAGATCAGTTGGAGTCAAGCTAAATTTCAGAATAAGACACTTTTGTCACGTGTTACCGACATCCTCTCAACCAATACAAATTTGTTTCATATAATTTTTTAAAAAATTGAACCGTTATTCCATTCTGTTTTATGTAGTACTTTATATTAATGACCCTTTTGGTTTAGTTTTACCCTTAGTTTGAATTTAAATTGAACCGTTACATCAACGTTACTTCATATTGATTCACCTGGATATAAATTTTAAAACTATTGTTGCGCAGCATGAGTACACAAATACGTAGTATACATCAACTTGCACTAAATATAATACGTAGTAATTTTGTAATCCACTGGTTTCTTTTTTAAGTTTTAATTAATTAATTTTTTTTATTAAAAGTCAATAAAAATAAAAATTCAATACAGTTTTTCCCAAAAGAGGGTAAAAATTATGAAGAAAAAAAAATTGCGGGATTATTTGTGGAAAGGTGATATTATTTTCAGTTTAGATGACCCATTAAGAATGTCACAATCCGTGATCATTTTGAGATCGATTGTTATTAACAGAAAAGTGTTAATATTAATCACTTCGAAAATACACAAAAGAAAATAAACTTTGAAAGAGATGATTAGGAATAAAGGGAACATATTACATATTACTTGATCATCTTTGAGCAAAAGCTCAACAGACCAAGTGCGACTCTCCGGAAAATGCACGGTTCACTTCCTTATGACATGAACAAACAATTGCTTAATGCTTAATAATGTTAGCTGAGAAAAGCTTCAATGCAGGCGTTCTTTAAAAGCAATACGCAAGAAAAAAAATTAATTTTCTAATGTAAATGCTATGAAGGAACTGTGTTATAACAGGGTGAGAGGATTTAAAATAACCAATGTAATTGGAGCCTTAATGAAGTATTTCCTCGTCCCGTTGGAAGGTTCCCTGATAGGTAAATGACGCGATTTTTAAGGTAACTGATTAAATAAAGTAATTTGGGTTAAAAAGAGAGAATATTTTTTTTTAGAAAAAGTAAACATATAAAGTGAAAGTAATTAAAGGGAGATAATGTGAGAAAGGAAAAATTGTGAGACTTAATATGTAATGAGTAAGAAAGAGAAATTTGAATAAATGTGTAATTAGTGAGTAAATTATTTCTTATAATGAAATGAGATCCTTTAAATGAGACACTCAAATAAGGAAAGTGAAATTCTTTCAACGGAAGGAGTGAGTAGGAGATTTTATCACACGATTAAACCCCGAGAAAAAAGAACTATTTCACGTTTTTTGCGCCAGATGCTCTCTGTGTACTTTGATTAGGGATAAAATCTCGTTTCCAAAATTTCAGACTTCTAATAAATAGGTTACTTCATAAAAATTAGTAATTAGAATACTATAGGTTATCTAATAGGCAATTATGTTTCAGTGTATACTAAAATGTTGAGAAAATATAAAATAAAAGTTTTATTCATATTTATCATCTAAAAAAGAAATCAAAGAAAAAAATGTCATAAAATTGGTGAGTAATGCTACATTGAACTGTATAAACAATAGAAAGTATAGTAATTAGACTACAGTTAGTTATCTAACATGGTATAATTTTCAGTGCAACATAATATTTTGGGAAAACATAAAATAAAAGTTTGATTGGTATTTATCAAAGAAAAAAAGAGAAAAAGAAACAAAACTCAAAAGAATTGAAATGAGTAAACAGTGAAGTTAGTCTTAATGTAAAAAGTTTTACTGGGTTACAATGAATTAGGAACAGATCAAACACATACCTAACACACAAATATTGATGTAATTTCCAACTTAAAAATGGCTATTCATTGCGATCTTTAGAATTTTACAGTACATAATAATATTTTGGGAAAATGTTTAGGAATAACATTTAGGGAAAAGGGGCAAATAAGCCCTCAAACTAATCAAAAAAGTGCAAATAAGCCCTTTTGTAGGAGGTTCCGTCCGGTCATCGTCATTTGGGGAGGTTCACGGTGGAATTTTTTGATGAATTTTTTTTAGCATCTTATTATTAAGTATAGTTTAGTCCTACTGAATTTCAGCTAAAAATTCAACCGGGAAGACAGTCAAATGAATTTTTGAAGATAACTGCGCAGTTAAACAACACAGTATATTTCCGAAAATCATTTGAGTGCCTTCCCGGTTGAATTTTTAGCTGAAATTCGGTATGGCTAAACTAGACTTAATGAAGAAGATGTTCAAAAAAATTCATCAAAAAATTCCACCGAGAACCTCCCCAAATGACGATGATCGGACAGAACCTCCTACAAAAGGGCTTATTTGCACTTTTTTGATTAGTTCGAGGGCTTATTTGCCCCTTTTCCTTAACATTTAAAACCCAATGTTGAGAAACAAAAGAGAGCGAGAGGAGCAGAGAGAAAACACGTAACCTCTGGACAATGAGCCTTCTATTTTTGAACTGAGATTTAAAGCATCATCTGCAGCAATTGGAAACTTAGTCCCTCTGCTTATTAGAATTGAAAACAAACGAAAGAAAATTTACATTGGAAAAATACCAGCAAGTTCAAAACCTGAAGGAGATATTGAATCGAATATCTACCAACAAAACCCAAAAGAACTGAAATGAGTAAACAATGGAGTTAATTTTAACTTCACTATTGAACTGGATTAATGCTAATTTGAAGCAAAGGATCTCATAGAAATATGAAACACACATATTCACCCGTTTATGCTCTACCAAATCCCACCCAACTCCACCCCACACCCACATATTGTATCACTTATTTTTCTAAATGGCGGTCAATCCCGGTCATAAAAGAGTAAACAAATACGGAGTATATTTTTATAATGGTATGAGAGAATATCCAAGAATCTAATCTAAAGAAACAATAAACTGATTGACTTGTCTGGTTAAAACATTTATACAAAAGTCAAGTAATATATAAGACTCCATACAACTCAATTTCAAAGAATCAATTCCACAACTTTTCTCTCAGATGGATGAGCCTAAGCTGAAGCAGAGCACTTCCATACAGGGCCAATGAAAGCTATATGGTTCCACACTTCCACCTTGCAAAGTCAAGTAATATTAGATATGATCTTGGAAGGGAAAAGAAAACAAATGAATCTAATTTAGTGGTATTAATTAGATTTGTTGAGTTGTTGGCTTAGTTGTTAATATGTATAGGTTTGGATCTATTAGTTTGCTCTTGCTAAGAAGGCGTCTTCAGATTTGTTATAGCCGAATGCTTGAACTACTGTTACACCCGTAATTGGGTTGTATATTTTACCTTGTATTTATTAGCCTAGATTATAGTTTAATGGGCCAAGGGTTTATATGTTTTCGGCCATAGCATGTATATATACACACGTTGATTAACATAATAGAAGGCAGAATAGTTTTTACCCTATTTTAATATGCTAATGCGCAACATGGTATCAGAGCGTGTCTGAGCATATCGGCGATCGTCTTCGGCAATCACACCAGGGCAGCACCAGCGTGTTCGTCCTTGTGCACGATGACCGATCCTTCTCCGCCCTATTATCTCGGATCTGGTGATCAGCCCAGGAATCTTATTACTCATGTAATTTTCCGCGGTGACAATTACGTGGGATGGTCTACAGATATCACGCTCTCCTTAAAGGCTCGCCGGAAATTCTGTTTAGTGGATGGAACGATGACAAAGCCGACTGAACCGGCAAAATTGGTGCTCGATTGGGACACCGTAAACTCTACGGTGGTTTCTTGGTTGCTGCGGAGTATGGAGCAAAACGTGGTCACGTCCATTCCGTTCCATGAAGAAGCTCGTGCCCTATGGGTGTATTTGGAGAATAGGTACAACGTGGCGAACGGGCCGCGTCTTGAGCAACTGCGGGCGTCCACCACAGAGTGCAAATAGATGAAGAACATGTCCGTGGATGGTTACTTTACGGCTTTGTTGAGCCTATACGATGAAATGAATAGGCTTAAGCCTTTACACACTTGCACGTGTGGATTGTGCACCTGCAATGTGGCTGCGAAATTCGCCAAGGATAGGGAAGAGGAGAAGCTTCATCAGTTCTTGATTGGGATTGACGATGAAGCGTATGGAACGGTTTGTTCCAATTTACTCTCGCACAACCCTCTTCCCGAGATTGATCGCGCCTATCAAATTTTTCTCCAAGAGGAAAACTCTCGTGCTGGCGTGCTGCTGCCCGGCAGTTGACGTGCACGCTTTTGCTGTTGCGAAGGGTAAGCCAGATCGGGCTGACAAGCAGAAACTTGTTTGCACCCATTGTAGACAAAAAGGACATGAGGTCGGGAACTGTTTTTAACTTCATGGATACCCGGATTGGTGGGATGATAGGAACAAAAATAAAGGAGGAGCAACTTCCGGAGTCCGTGAGGGTACTGGCGGCCGTGGAGGGGGGGGGGTGCTGTGACACTCCTTATATTTAATAAAGATGTTAATTTTATTTGTAGATATTTTTTCAAAGCTTATGATTCGAGACGAAACATCTTTTAAGGAGAGTAGAATGTGATACCCCGAAAAATTAAAATAAAATAAATAATTTTATTAGTCAGATAAAATGTTGCGAAAGTGACAATTTAATAATTAAGTGAATCAGCTAAACATTTAACATCTATGACATTTTTAATCAGATAAAAATGGTTCAATAATAAAAGTGACATTTTAATTTAAAAGATGCGTAAATAAAATGTGTACAAAAATACCCTACAAAAATAACAGTTTTGAAAATTGAAAGAGTTGACTTTAAAGCCTAATTATATACGGAGTACTCCGCCTAACATTAATACTTGCCCCAATATCGAACAAGGAAATTAAAGATGCCTTGTTTGACATTGGAGATGATAAGGCACCGGGGCCGGATGGATATTCATCGGCTTTCTTTAAGGCGAATTGGAGCCTTATTGGGGATGACATAGTCCAAGCAATTAGGGAATTTTTTCATTCGGGAAAGTTGCTCAAACAAATTAACCATACGGTTATAGCACTTATCCCCAAGACTACTCACTCACCTAAAGTTTCGGACTATAGACCAATATCATGTACAAATGTGTTGTATAAAGTCATTACAAAAATTATAGCGGCAAGATTAAACCCATGTCTCTCGGGTTTAATCAACCAAGCACAAGGTGCTTTCGTAGACGGCCGCCTAATGTTTGATAACATATTCCTTGCCCAGGAACTTGTTAGAGGATACAATAGGAAGCGAATTTCACCAAGATGTATGATTATGGTGGATTTGCGCAAGGCCTATGACACCATTTCGTGGAATTTTCTTGAAAATGTCCTAAAGGGGTTGGGCTTCCCTTCTAGGTTTGTTGGTTGGATAATTGAATGTGTGTCAACAGCTTCCTTCTCGGTTTCCTTGAATGGGTCGTTACATGGTTTTTTCAAAGGAAAAAGAGGCATAAGGCAAGGAGATCCAATGTCTCCATTATTATTTGTCTTATGCCTCGAATATTTTTCCCGGTTGCTCACCATGAGAACCAAGGAGGCAAACTTTAATTACCATCCGCTTTGTGCGTCACTCGGTATTACTCACTTGGCCTATGCAGATGACCTTATGCTCTTTTCGAGGGGTGATACGTATTCTGTAGAAATATTAGTTAACACCCTTAAAGAGTTTGGAGATGTATCGGGCCTTAGAGTAAATCACGGGAAATCGAACATTTTTGTGGGGGGTGTGCGAGACCTTGAATTGCAGAGCTTGTTGGACCTCGTCGACTTTGGGCAAGGGACATTCCCGGTTAGATACCTTGGGATCCCTCTTGCCCCCCTTAGGGTATCAGTTGCCCAATATGCACCGTTACTTGACACGGTCAGTGATTTCTTAAAGGCATGGAATACGAAAACAATATCCTATGCTGGGAAGTTGGAGCTTATCCGCTCGGTGATCCAAGGGGTCCAATCTTTTTGGCTCCAAGTCTTCCCAGTTCCCCAAACGATTTTGGATAGGATAGTTTCCATATGTAGGATTTTCTTATGGGGTGGCAAGTACGTCAAAGTGGCATGGGATGACATTTGTCTCCCTAAAGAGGAAGGAGGACTTGGCATTCATAATGCTAAGGTTTGGAACGACGCTCTCCTTTCTCGCACACTTTGGGACCTACATAAGAAGAAGGATACCCTTTGGGTTAGGTGGGTTAATGGCGTTTACCTTAAGGGTAAAAGTGTGTGGGAATTCGTCCCACACGGCCGTGACTCACAATTCTTGAAGAGGTTATACCAAATACGTAATAAAATACGTGAGTGTTTTAATAATTTGAACGAAACCATTATGGGCCTTAACGCTAGATCCATTAATGGCAAACTGATTCCGGCCAAGATCTATGAGCTTTTGAGAGTTAAGGGGACTGTTAGGACCCCAATGAGCTTCATTTGGAAATCCTACATTCCACCTAAAATCTCTTTTAATGTTTGGTTGGCACTACGAAATAGGCTACCCACTCAGGATAGCCTCGGGTACCTCCATATTGTGAATCGTTGTGACCTATGCAAGGGTGGATTGGAAACAATTCCACACCTATTTTTTGTTTGCCCATTCACGTGTAGGGTGTGGGAGAGGATCAAAAGCTGGATGGGATTTGGGCATCAAATGAATACATTGCTTAGTGCGATCAAGTGGATTTCGAAGAGCCGCAAAGGAGCAAACTTGAAGGCAAAGGCAGCCCGGCTAGCCTTCTGTGCCACGACATACTATATATGGCATGCGAGGAACTCTGTTAGATTTGATGAAGGAAAAAATTCGGAAGATGATGTTGTTGCAAAGGTCAAGCATATGGTTTACAAGATACTCTATAGTATCTACCCATATGAGATGATCAACCTTTGAGAAGATTCATGTTTTTTTTAATGCCACGGCATTAGACAGCTTGTAATTTTTTGGGTTGCATGTATTGGCTATTTTGGATTTAGACTAGACTAAAAGCCTCTCCTAACCCTCTCCTTTTCTCACGAAATAGGAGAGGGTGGGGGTTTTAGACTTTAGATTTTTGGACACATTGTACTTGTTAAATTTTGCTTGGGTGTTAATATATATTTACATTTCATCCAAAAAAAAAAAAATATGCCTGCGATGGCAATAATATACCAAGTACATATCATCATAATAATAATAACAATAACCAAGTACATAGTACCAATAATACATACATGGTAGCCATATGCCTTACACTTATGCAGGTTGGAGATGCCAACAAATATGGCCAAAAAGAAATACATCATGCATTAATGCATATCTTTACAAATCATATACTCCCACATGGGATGCCATGTAGTCAACCAATCTCTCACAATAATTTTTCTAGCTCCATAATAATTTTACTACTAGCAGCAACACTTCAATCACACACACATGCATAATTGCATGTAAACAAAATTAGAATACTACTGCACAATAGTACAACGTCGGCCGTCCCCACAATCATCGGATAATTAAGCTCAAACTATGAACTACAACCTCCAGAATACCTGTATAAATACTAGCCTCAAACCTGAGTGTTCTTTTATTCGCAACCCAGCATTCGAAATACTATCGTATATACATATATATACGTATAAACTACTATATATACGAAAAACACAGCCCTTCATTTCAGCTTAAAACTAGAGCAAACACCATTAAAACCTTTTCCCCCGTTAGAGGAATCTAACAAAAGAAGAATCATTAAAAACGATCGTCAAACGAGGGGAACAAGCTCGCCGGATTTTCGCCAGGCTAACCGTAAAGACGGAAAACAGGGAAGGAGGAGCTGCCGCTGCCGCAAACCCATCACTGACCTTCGCCGTCCCAGAGGGAGTGCACCGCTGCCATTGTTTCACGCATCCGTCGAGGTAAGCTTCCCATGCGTTTACCTGCGTTTCTGCGACGTACCAACGAAGAAGACAACTTAGTTTATCTTCTTCACTCACGGCTGAGTTTTAATGAAGCTGGACTTTCTTTAACATCTTAGTTGGGCTGATAGTAATTAGTAGACTGGGCCAACTTTAAATAATAATGATATTAATAATAATAACAACAACAATAATAATAATGTACTCCGTAATTGATAAATTTAAGATGAGACGTATTAGTGATGAATTTAGCTTGATATTAATCACTTGGATAAATTGGTTAATTGTTAGTTAACATAATTACGGGCTTGGTAATGTTAAGTGTTCATGTAATTAATTGTGGAATATTATAATGGATTAATTAAGATGGACTAATTTAAATAAAGTCAATTAGAGAAATTTCATAATTCGGATCTATTATCTTTAATAATATACATTTCGGATCTACTATTTTATTAGATTAATAACAACAGTTTTAATTGATGATGACTAGTAAGAGGTTGGCAACTCCCTAGACATTAGGGTTCGGAGATAGCCGCCGTGAGTGACGATTGTCTTCCGTTTTTCTTTTTCCGAGTTTTTGATCGGTTGGAGCTTGGGTTTTCGGTTTCGGCAGGGAGGTTAGTCGTTGTACAAAGGCTTGGTTCTCAGCCTCGCACAAATTAACAAGCAAAGGCTTCCGATCGTTTGTTCTCGTACGAAGGCTTAGGTCCAGCCATTTGTTTTTCGTTTTTTGTCATTGTTTGCGAGCAGGTTGGTTGGGGAGAAAGAATGGAGATCATCATCGACAAGACCAAAGATATGTTGATAGGAGTCAGAGAGGACGAGATCGTCTTCGACGAAGAGACTGCTCAAGGTGAGGAGGATGCGGCTGATGGAGAAACTTTCTTGGTCTTGGGCACTGTGGTCACAGACAGGTTGGTGAAATTTCCGGCCTTCAGAAATCTCATGGCTAAACTATGGAGGCCTGTGAAAGGTATTACCATAAAAGAAATTAACGATAACAGGTACATGTTCACTTTTTACCACACGCTTGATATGAAACGTGTGATTGAAGGGGGTCTGTGGACCTTCGAGCAGAATCTGTTAATTCTTAGGGAGCTTAAGCCAGGGGATGTTCCCCTTGGGGTTTCTTTGAATGAAGCAGAATTTTGGGTTCAGGTGCATAATGTTCCATATGATTATATGAATTTGGATGCGGCCCGGAGAATTGGGAATTTTCTTGGGACTTTTATTGATTTTGATAAAAGTCAGTTTGTCAAAAAATGGAGGCCTTACATGAGGGTTCGAGCTTGTTTAGATGTGGGGAAGCCTTTGAAGGTGGGTGTAACACCCGGGGTCCGCAGGACCCGAGGTAGTTACTTCGGACCAATAGTACTGTCCTCACAAACCACCACTAGCCTTTACCGCGCACTTTGTCCTCACTCATGCGCGCCCTGAGAAACTTCCCAGGGGGTCACCCATCCCTTAAAAGGAGATGCACCTCTGTTGGTATGAGTAGTACTATTAATCCATTTATATTAAATCTCAAGTGTTACAGTGGGCACGACTCTCCGCAAGGGACAAGGAGAGGGACACTAGGTTGATTTCAAATATGAAAAACTGCCTAGTTTCTGCTTTGTTTGTGGTATTATTGGGCATGCTGACAGGTTTTGTCCTTTGGTTTATAAGAACACCAAACTGGAGGTTCCAAAGAAATATGGAGCTAGTCTGCGAGCAGGAGGAGGGG